CCCTATGAAAAGTTTCTCTGACATAAACTGTCTCCTGTTGCGTGCAGCTCCCACAGAGACTGAAGGAGAAAGAGCTGGACCCAGGCTAATGTCACAGTCTCCTGATTAAAGGCAGTTCTTTGGTGTGAAGACTTTGTCTTTTGCTCTGCAGATCATCTTCCTAAAGAATGTGATCCTGTCCTTTGAGCCCTTTCTAATGGAGGGGCTCAGCTGTGCTGTGGGAGCAGTGCCTGGATCAATGTTCTGGCCTGATACAACATGTGGGCACCCCTTGCTATGGAAGCAAGCCTGGGTTGTAAATGCGAGCAGATGCCAAGTGTTCACATCAGCTGAATTCACATGGGGCTCAGGAAAGCTTCAGCAAGTCGCATGTAAACTCGTATTGCTCGCCTGAGGATCAAGCATGCGGTTTCTGTTGCATACCTGATGCTGGTGGGTTTGATTTTCCTGTTTCTGCCTAAATTGTCGGGTTTGCTTTGCAGATAATGGGTAGCTAAAAGGAAGTTCACAAATGCAGCAGCAGTTGTGCTCCTTCCACAGTTGTACTTAGTCCCTGCTTGGTGCTTCGCAAGTGCTTTTCAAGTCAATTAGCCCTTACACGTTTGGCAGGAGGTAGGGCAGGTATGCTCCACCTTTGATCAGCCCTCATGACCTCCCTTTAAACTATATGCTGAGAAGAAAGCTGTTCCCTTTTCTGCTCCAGGCACAGGCCTGTGGGATGCTGGAGGAGAGCAGGGCTGTGATTGACGTGCAGAGGGGCCCCGTGTGCTACGCGGAGGTTCTCCACTCACCTCACGTGGAGGCTTTCACCCTTCACAGTCCTCGCTCAGGTTTGAGCTGCACCTCAAACCTGGCACTTCGTGACCAGTCTTCATCTGTGTTCTTTACAGATAGCACTACTGTTAATTGCCATGAAGGCCACCCTGAGACTGAGTTGCTTGAATGGTCTTGCTCCTCCAGGCAAGCATTACAGCCCATTCCCACTGAGGCTGTGGGGAACGGGGTGTGTTCAGTGCCACCTCCTCCCCGTGGAGCGCCCCATTCAGCACCTTTCACAAGCAGCAGTTAATGGGATGTTTGTTGGTGGTTTCTGTGGCAGCGTTCACAAGCGAGCGGGTGGATGCTCATTGCTCTGGGTGGGTGGAAGTCGGAACAGAGCAGCCTTGTTGCCAACATGGATGTCTCCATTCTTCTCATGCACAAAAGAGCAAATACACGTGGGGCTTGGACGGGGTGGTACAGGACCTCCTTCAGCTCAAGAAAAGATGAACCTTTGTATTGCTACCATGAGCTGCTGCTTCTGGTGTTCTGCTGCTCCCTCAGGGCTGGAACTGCAGGCCCTGCTGCTTGCTGCCACGAAGTCCTCCAGTTCGAGATGCCCCTGGACAAGCCCCTGTGTTGTGCCTGAGGTCCCAGTTCTTCCCACCACTCCCAGTGCAAGGTTCCTCCTTCCATTCAGGATGGCCGTGGGCTCTCACTGGGCAGTGTAGGAGCTGGTGTGGATTCCAGAGCTCTGTCCTTCCCTTTTGGCCATCGGTGAAGTGACCTTGCCTCTCCTGTATCTCCACCCCAAGAAGCCAGTTTTGCAGCAGGATCATAGCACACAGGGCCTTAGATTTGTGGGGGCAGGTAGAATCTCAAGCATGGAATCCTGCTTAAATCATTGCTACCATTTCTGGGTACTTCCAGAAGGGTTTCTTTTGAGAATTTCATGGTTTCTACATCAAAACTCCCTCAGAGGGAGTACAATGAGGCTGAAACCAGTAATTTAGAGTGGGGAGTGTCAGCAAGAGTCAAAAGTGACAGAGTGGGTTTTGACTCCGTTTCCTTCTGAAGCTGCTTCCCCTTTGATTATATCCCTCACATTACAACGTGCAGATCCGGAAAGGTGACTGGTTTTTAACGTCTCTCAAAATAAGCAGCATGTTAAGCAAATACCACCACCTTTGTAAGCGGTGCCTGTGTATTGTAATAAACATGCTACGGTATGTATAGCACCATCTTTTGACAGCTGAGTGTAATCAGAGCCGTTGGACATTGTATCATGAGCTCTGTCCTGATGTGATGGAGCGAAGTCTGAGCAGGAAGGAAGATGCTCCTATAGTGAAGAATGAACGTGCCAGTGTGCACAGGGGAGTCAGGATCCTTCCTCTGCATCCTCTGTCCTGGCAAGTACCAGGGTGCTGATGCCCGGTTTGCTCTCTGCATGGTTGTGGAGGTTCTTCCCTGTCATTCCCGTGACGGCTGAAGCTGCCGTGGTGGCTCTCGCTCTTGCGATGGCCGCAGTTAGGTGCAGGAAGAAGGCAGCCGTGCAGTTTGCAGTTGCTTCAAAGCTGGTGCAGAAGAAAGGAAGCATCAACAAGACCCTTGTACCGAGCACGCAGCCTGCGGTTCTTCACATAGCCGCAGTTCAGGGGAGTGTTTAAACAAATGTTTGACAACCCAGCAGGGAAGCAGGCTTTGCCTTCCGTGGTGTCAAGCACAGGGGAGGGAAGCTAAGCAACTCCGAGCTACGCTTTAGTGAGCGTGTTCCCAATCCCCAGTGCACTTCATGTATTTATCGCACTTACTTGCTAAAAACATACAAGGCTTCCTCAGTTCGAGCAATATTCTTCACTTCAATTGATCATCCCAGAAACTTGTCTGTCTCTTTGCTCAGTTTGAGCAAATCCAACTTTTCTCCTTGTCTCTCTGTAGATTATGAAAGGCTTCGTGGATTAGATCATGAAATGCAATCGAGCCTGGTGGTGTTGCGTGCAGAGTATCACAGTGATGGGCTGCGCTCAGGTGGCATTGCCTTTCCTTCTCCTTTGAAACTGTTCTGCCTGCGTTGCTGTGAGCTGCTGTCTCTCCCTGCTAATAGGAATGTGCATAAAGCTCACATAATCGTTAATATTGAAGAATCATTAAGGCTGATAAAAGCAGCTCTGGCTGCGATTATGTTGTTCTTCATGGTCACTGCTTGTGGAAAACATGATAGACAAACATCAGCTCAGCTGCCTTTTAGAACCCACCAGTTGATCTAGTGGCTGTTTGACTCCATCTATTGCACACTCGGAGATAGCTGCAGTTAGATGCTCATTTTGCAAGCCTGCAGGAATAAATGGATTTCTAGAGGCTGTCTCTGCTGCCCTCATCCTTTTTCCACAGCCCCTGTTTCTGATGCAGACAGCGTCCAAAAGGCAGCAATCTGTAGCTGAGCACTGAAGTCTAGGTTGGCTTTTTATTAAGGCAATGATGTGCTGACTGGCGGAAAAGTGTCAAAACTGCAGTCTTGTAACATCAACAAAATAAGGCAGGTTGCCTTCCTCATGGGGACGAGTGCTGAAAGCAAAACGGAGCCCTGCAGGAAACCAGTGGATCTGAGCACTTCTGCTGTGGGAAAAGCATCCGCAGTTGCTTTTTTCCCTTAATAAGGAAAGACCAAAGTCCGAAGGTTCATGACTTGACTTGCCTTTGCCTTCCTCTCCCCTCTGCAGTAGTTCTCAACAGTGCATCCGGCCGGGTTTTCCCTCTCAAGCAGAACTGGAATTGAAGTAACACGGCAGGTGTTACAGGAGGGAGCATGCAGTGAAAGGCTGGGAAAGCTGGGGGGATTTGGGGTAGTGTTCTAAAGTCTGTAGGTGAGCAAAAGGAACTGGCCTGCAGCAAATACAGACATGTCTCAGGAAACCCCCTGGGCACGAGCGGGGTGTGTGAGGCTTTGTGCTTACAGTGGGAAGGGAGATGATGGGGACAGAGCCTGTTCAAGAAACGAAACCTGAACCTCATCCAAGTGATTTCCAAGAGACTCAGCTCTGGCTGTCAGGGGGTGGTAGGAGCGGGGCTGCAAAGGAGCTGTGTGTGTGGGCCCGCACGTGCAGCCTGTCACAGCAACACAGAGGCAGCTTCACGCTGTGGCCCTGGTGCGTTACATGTGCGGAGGGATGAGTGATGAGGGTTCCAAACTGGGATCCTCCACGTGAGCATTAGTGTTTGCAGAGTTACCCAGGAAAGCAATGGCCTTTGTAATGAAAGCACAGAGGGGTTTGAGGCACAGTGTGCTTCCCTACCCTTGGCTTTCTCGTGCTAGGGAATGCTAACAGAGATAAAACTAGCACTGAGATGTTCCAGACCCAGGGTTGTCAGCATGTCTCATTTAACCTCAACTGCTACAAGACTGACTGCCTCCACAGCCACTGGAGTTTTCTTGGCATGCCGTGCCATGCCATGCCACGTCATTCTGTCTCACTGGAAGTTGTCCTGCAGCCCGTCTGTGTAAGACAATGCTTGGCATGCAGTTGTTTTGCATCAATGGTCCAAGTTCTCCGTTGGCATTTGCTTCATCTGCATGTGTCCCATTGCCATCTGCTGGAGGCTGGTGCGTGTGCTCCTAGGGACTGTTGTGCCAGGCAGAGGAAGGGAGCTGCCCCTGAGGCCACCCACTCCCTGCTGAAGATGCGTTGAGGTTAGTTCCTGGTCTGTGCTGCTGGTGATGTGATAGTGCTGTTCTCTGATGTCCTGGTAACCCTGGGTCATGGGATGTGCCTCTGATAACAAACACCGCGTCAAGGACAGAATGACCAAAGTCCTGTCTTGGATGCTCTTGCACAATAAAAGCACCAATTCTCTCACCTACGCTTGTAACTGGGTTAGAAAGAGGCTGAATTTTGGGTTACAGCTGAACAAAGAGTAGGGGTGGGATTGCCAAACAGCTTTGGTGTAGACAAGACTGGGAAGCAAGGCCAAGGCGTGCAGCATGCCCGGTGGCTTCAAGTGTGGACCCTGAGCTCTTCCTCGGGGGTATTCTTTCAGAAATGGAAACTGGGCCTCTCCAAAGCAGCCTGTTTTGGATAGCAGAGCTCACTGGTCCTGTTAGCCACAGCCAGTCTGGACCCCATCCAGACATCCCCACTACTGGGACTGGAAGCTGCTGCCTGTCCCAGCTCCTGCGGATTGATGTACAGCTAAAGAAGACTGCATGGATGGGGCTTCATCACGCTGTTCTGTTTGCAATGCAGGAGGCCTTCGAGGAGCTACAGTGGTAGATGCCTTAGATACTCTGTACATCATGGAACTCGAGGAGGAATTCCAAGAAGCAAAGAAGTGGGTGGAGAAGAGCTTTGACTTGAATGTGGTGAGTCAGTTCCTAGGAATGCCTGTCCGTGTCACCAAAATTCCCTGTATTTGGTCACTTCTGATCACAGCTTTCTCAGAACCATTTGGGGAGGGGAACTGTGGAGTCCGGGGAGGGGAGAAACCACTGTCATGATTCTTCTGCCTATCCAGGGCTTCCAGCCAGGGGCCATCAGCTCAGGCTCCCAGTGTCTACCTGGAAATGAGATTCAGTGTTTAATGTTTCTTGTGTTTTGGTCTGGGTTACAAAGGCAGCTGTAGTCACTAGATACGCCAAGGAAGTTTATTCATCAAAGAACAAGTTCTGTTTCATCTCAGTTAAATGTCTGCTTGTGGTAAGACAAGTTTTCCTTTTGCATTCTGTAGATTAAGATGGAAAACGCTGATCTCATTGACCGGGTGCTTTGTTGGTATGTCAGTGCTGCGTGCACAGCAACGTGCAGTGTCTCCACAAGTGTCCACACTCCACAAGTGTCTGCACTTGGAGCACTGTCTGCAGATCATGTCTTCAGCATAAGATGGACATGGAGCTGTTGGAGCAAGTGCCTGGATTTGGAAGGAAGGGCATCGCTCTCTGGGCCCCTGTCCAAGCCACTTCCCAGAGCTAGTGTTAGAGCTGCTGGGCCTCTGGGTGCAGCACAGTGCTGTCAGATGAAGGATGCTGTCCTTTATCTCACTTTGTGGATGGGGCCCCTTGCATAGCTCTGACCGTTGTCTCCCAGCCAGCTCTCCTAGCTCTCACGGGAGAGCTGATGGGACCTTGTCAGGGGCATATGGAGAATGTTAAAACCCGAGCAGGGTTTAAACTTTGAGGTTTTTAATGCTGGCCCTGTTGTCTGTTGTGCAAAATGGTTCTCCCCATTGAAACAATGCATGCAGCTGCCTCATAGAAAAGCATCATTTGGGAGGGCACGACTGACATTCATGTATTCATAAAAGGAAGACCACATCTGATAAATCTGGTGAATGCTCTCAGTACGTTACTGAATCAATAAACAAGGGACAAAATCAACCGGGAGATAATTTATCTGGATTTCATAAAAGCTTTTAATCTTGGCCTGCAGAATAGATTGATCTGCAAAGACAAGAGTGAATGCTCTGGATTGATCGGGGGAGTCAGGCAGCGCAGCAGAGGGGGAGAGGAGGGAAATTCATTACAGGTTGGCTCTGTACAAGGAGCACTGATAGTCCAGAAACGGGGCTCCACTGCCTCTGGTTGAACCTGGGTGCCGTGATGGCTCGTGCAGTTTCAATCATCATCTGAAGGAAGCACCTGCTCTGCTCTGTAACCTGCAGGTGTTTGGAAAGGGCAGGCTAGTGCAGAGGTGTGGGTGCCTCTTTGTTGCTGTGTTGGTGGAAAAGCTTTCTGAGTTTTGGCTCTATCCACGTGAGGGTAGGAATCTTTTCTCATGCAGATTCAACAGCCAGAAGCACCTTGTTTTTGACAGTACGTTTTGCATGCAGTCATTTTGACGTTGGCTGCTCATCAGCTGAGTAGGTAGAGCAAAACGTGTTCCAGGTGAGCGTGTTCTGAAGTGATTCAGGGAAGCGTAGCCACGTGCATCTGCTGCCTGTGGTGGTGGCACATGGACACCACGCAGGTTGTCTCTGTCAGCGGGCCTGCCACAGGCTCCCTGCAGGCTGCGGTCCTCTCTGAGCCTGCAGATGAGCGAGTTCTTGAGTGACAGCAAATACCTGCCAAAAGCAGGCAGCACACCGGGTCTATCTGGTGCAGTGCCCTCTTCACAGGGAAATGCAGGAAGTCGTTTTTCCTTGTGGCTGCACAATTTTCTCTTAAATGAAGCATTTCAACGGGCAGATTTTTGCCCTGAACTAACTGACAGCTTTCTGCAAGGCATGACCCAAGTCAGGGTTGGATGGATGGACAATGCACCTGGACGTACTGTCAGCTGGGGATGAATAGGCAGTTTGGGTGTTTCTCCTCCCTTCAAGCTCCTTGTGTCACTGTAGAGCAAATAAAGAGCTCTGAGATCTTAGACAAAAAGCTGCGTTTCACTGTGGGTGAGGACTGGGAGACTTTAAGTGTCTGCCTGCAGTCTGTTCCCCTTAGCTGCCATTTGTGTGTGCAGACTTTGCAGTCACGTCTATCATTATGTATTTTCAGAACGGAGAAGCATCCTTGTTCGAGGTGAACATCCGCTATGTTGGAGGACTGTTGGCCACATACTACTTAACTGGAGAAGAGGTTGGTTTCTGCAGCTCTGCATGTCTCACACAGTCACCACTAATGAACTGAGAGGGTTCTCCAGCAGCTCTTCTCTGAGCATCAGAAGATCCCTCCATGAGAACAGGCCAAACCTGTCGTTTGTCTCAATATCAATATGCCACTAATGTTCTTTTAATTAAGTCTCACATAATTACCTTGCACACACTGTGCATGGCTCATTGGTAAATCTGTTCTCCTGTGGGCAATTCCAGCAAGACCCGTTTTCAGCTGGATACAGTGTTCCCTGGTGAAGTGCCATTTGCAGTCATCATTCTCTTTGCCCTTGTCTCTTTGTATTTTAAACATAGGCAGGATTTCATCAAGCATCATTCCAGATTCCACCTCAGACTAAGGAGGGCAACTGCTTAGTGGCAACTGCCCTGAACTCCTAAGTCAAAGTGCCCTGGGCTGCAGGGAAGGGACCTGCATCCTGCCAACAGAGTGCTGCAGCAACGCACCATGTTCCCTTGCCCAGCAGCTGTGGGTGTCACAGACCCATCATAGGGAAGCCACCCTGCAGTGGATGCTCCCGTTCTGGCTAGAGCCATTTCCCTTCTTTCTCTCCAGCCTGCAGAGGCCAGGGCTTAATGCCATAATCTGTTTTATAATGTGCCTGGCCTGCAATTCTACAACTGGCTGTAGAGAGATGAAGAGATTATTCCTTTGCTCTGGAAGTCTTAGGCAAGCAGAAACTCTGATTCAAGGGGGAGTTTTGTGAGTGAAGGAACTGGAAGACTGGTTCTTAAATGAGAGCTTATCTCCCATGCCAAGCAATGACCATGGCTGGGTGTTGTCCACCTTAATCGGATGGGATGGCTCACCACTGATCCGTGGAATCACAGGAGCAGCGCAATTACTTCCGTTGCATTTTAAATGAGTTCCAGGAATGGCTTCTTTCCATGATATCCCTCCAGGGAAAACTCTCAGAGACTCCAGTGCCCCAACTCAGGCCTCGTCTTGCTCACAACTTCAACAGGCTTCAGATTAACAGAGCAAAAAGAAACAGCATTAAAGCACAGAACTCCAGCAGTGACCTCTTGAGATGCAGTCAGCAGTGATGCTCAGCAGCCAGGGCAGTGCCTGGCCTATTCCCACTCAGGGTCACCACACTGAAAGGCAAACCTCATGTCCCACTCTCTTGCTTTCCCTTCTGAACCAAAGCCCCGTCTCCTTGGGAGCGGATCACAGGTCTGCAGCCCCACAGGAGAGCTCGGATTTCCCCAGTGCTGTATTTTTAGAGCAATAAATTCCTGCTTTCTGTGCACTCCTGTGAGAGCTCGGGCTGGTGGGGGGGGGCTTCATCTCCTGAGTCACTTAACAGGCTTCCCTTGATCAGAACTAATCTCTGGAGCAAAGATTGGTGCTTGTATCAGCTTGTGCCAAAATAATTGTGTGCTGCCTTTGTGCTGCAAGCCACCATAAGCTGTAACTCGATTTGAAAGCCCAAAACTGAGGCATCACAAATGGAAAAGGAGCAGCTTAGCCACGAAACCATGAATCCTTCCCGGAAAAGAGTTGCAAGTAAAAGATTGATTGTTGGAAACCACATTTTTTCCAACAGGAGATGACACAAGTGTTGTCAATCTAACAATGCTGCACCCTCGAAAGATGTCTTTGAATGCTAATTCAGTCATTTCACCTCCCTGTGTCCTCTGCCACCTTGGGAAAAGGGCGGAATTTGGCCCCAAAGAGTCCTCTTTGGATGAGTTCAGATCCCAGAGGTCTGCTGCTGAGGCACTGGGGTGTTCTGAGCTCTGCAGCTCTGACTGCGCTCAGCCAGGCTGAGGGTTTGGCAGGGGCTGGGCCAGCTCTAGGGGAGGTTTTTAGAGGACATTCAGGTAGATCCCAACATTCAGCAAGAGTTCTGGTTCGGGTCTGTCGTGCAGTGGAGCGAGGGCAGCAGCGTACCTGGAACGGCAGGCTCTTACAGTGCAGCAGGCGGAGGTTGTTATAATGTATGTGAAGGAACCCGGTGTGACTGGTGCTCACAAGCAGCCCATCACATACCGATCCTCTCTTCTTCTTTTAACAGGTCTTCAAGAGCAAAGCTTTGGAACTGGGAGAGAAGCTTCTGCCGGCTTTTAACACCCCCACGGGGATCCCGCGCGGCGTCATCAATTTGGGCAGGCAAGGCTCACGTCCCTCCCAGCGCATCGTTCTGGTTGTGGATGTTTGTAAAAGGCCAGGATTCAGGCAGGAGCAGCAGCAGCTCCTCAGAGGTGCCCCCCTCTAGTGCACATTCCTCCAGGTCATTTGTTTTGCCAACTCAAACCCCAGAGGTGCCTTGGCAGGGATTGCAGGGGACTCAAGTTAAACCCAGCTGTGTTTCAGTAACCTGGGGCTCTCTGCAGTTTCCTCCTCTACCTCTTGGCAGGGCTCCCTGCTGCAATAGCAGTTTCCTCACCCTCATCTGCTTTGGAAGGTGAAGTGTAGTCTGCACCCAGCACGCATGTAGCTCTGTATCTTTGCAGAGTGCCCAACAAGATGAGGGTGAATTTATCCATGTTTGGAAAACTTGGGAAAGGAACTGGCTGGGCCTGGCTGACAGGTTTGGTGCTAGAAAGGGGGGTACTGTACAGATCCTCCAGTTTTCTCCTTGCTGCCAGCACTCAGCCATTCTCCTTCACTGGGAGCCAGCACGTTTCATGTCAGGTAGGTGGTGGTGTCACGCTGGAGGGGAGCTTTGGGTCAGATACCTTGCTGAAGGTCTCTGAGCAGAGGCACACGAGGCAGCCAGAGCACCAGCCTCTCATTCATGCCAGCAGACAGTGTTCCCTGCCAGTGAGGGCTCGTTGGCTCCTTTTGATGCCTCCACACAAATCCCCCTGGGCAAAAGCTGCAGCTGAAGCGGAGGCAGTTGGAAATGGGGGTTAACCAAAGCCTTTCATCCTCACCTCTTGCAAAACTCCGAGCAGGAACCATGAGAATCATTCCTCATCTCTTAGCCCAGCTCTCCCGTTCCGTTCGTGTCTCTGTGCAGTGCAGGACTTTCAGGTGTTTGGCTCAAGCTGCTCCATTGCTCAGGTACCACTGACACCCTTCAGTTGTCTCGTCTGCACGTGAGCCTGGTGAAAAATGGAGCCACCGCGGCCACTTTAATTGTTGCTTTCACAGAAGAGACTTTCTGCTTCCTCTGTGGCTGATCAGGGCTCTGTGGCACAGAGAAACCTTTCACAGAAATGCCAAACCTCCCCTGCCCTTCCTGGAGACAATTGGAACAGACTCTGCCTGCCTGGGCATTCCCAGCATGTTTTGCTGGTGACCTTGACTAAGAGCAAAGCAAAGCAGCGCTGAGCCTGCAGTCAGAACCAATGTTACTGGCTTAAGCCCTGGCTTCAGGGCCATGAAACTGCTCTGAGGGCTCAGAGGATCGATTGCTCAGGAGCAAGGATGAAGTAGTCTGACTATTTCTACTGACTGCTACTCCTAAATCTGTAGTCTGACTGCTGCAGGCACATGATGAACAGCCAAAGGCTGTGAACCCAAAGGGGCAGGGAGCTACTCAGTGTGAGGTTGCATGCGGAGGTGGAAGCAGAGGAGAGCGAGGTGGTGCTGTGCACGCACACTGACCCCAATGTCAGGGCGAAACCAAAGCCCAGAAGGAATTCTCTCTCCAGTTCTACTTTCGCAAGGATGTGCTAATTCCAGAGAGCCCTCATCAACCCAGAAGGGGGGGAGCCTTGCCACGTGTGTAGGTTCTGGTGGTGTTGGCCCGGGGGGTGTTAAGAATGACAGCCAGAGATTTGAAACAAACAGAAGCTGGCATTAAGTCAATTCCTGCGTGGGTTTTGAGGCCCCAACTACCCCAACCCCCCAGCTCTTCCCAGAGCTAACTGCCTTTATCTCGTCCTATCACTTCACACCACCTTTTCCTCTCGTTTCCCCTTTCCGCTGATGTGCTTCCCTGTGGCCTCCTGTTTTCGCACAGGCACTGTATCATCTCACACAGGCTTGTTTTCCATCCTGCTGCTCCAACTGCCACGCTGTCTGCCAGGTGCTGGAGTACATTGTCTTCCCAAGCTGCTGCTCCGTGCTCCCTGCCTATGTGTTGCTGCACTGTGGTTGCTCTCCTGATGCCTCCCATTCTGGGTCCGTGATCCCTGCTTTCCTTCCCTTAAGCCCTCTACACCTCCAGATTTTTCTTCATCATCCTCTCCTGGTCTTTCTCTTGGTTTGGCTTTGGGTCTCTGTGAGGGAAGGAGATGATCCAACCCCGTTCAGCAGCTTCCAGGTCCTGCCTGTCTGACCCGGCTCAGAAGACAGCTTCTGTTTGTGAGGTGGTGTTTGTTAGAGTGTCCCTTCAGGGCAGTAAATAAAGGAAAAGTAATTGACTCCTTTAGATAGAACATGGTGGGATGGTTTCACACCCCCAGTGGCTGCCAGGTGGTGTCCAATGTGATATTAAAACCAGCATCAGCCTGGGCAGGCTGAAGGCTGCACGGGGAGGTTTGTGCCATAGGCGCTCCATGTTCCTGGGTACCAATTTCAGCTGCACACTGTGTTTTCAAATGAAAAGCTGGTGCTGCAGCCTCCTGACATTTCCCAGGAAGGCTGATGCTTGGCAGTGACTGAGCAATTGGAAACAGTGTGAACATATTGCTGATCTAATGGCTTTTTTTGTCTGGAGGCGAAACAAACAGCTCTGGACCTGAAATGGTTTTCCATAGATCACATGGAGGGGAAGCTTTTTTTTCCCCCCTCGGAAAGACCATTAGTTTTGGCCTCCTGTAAACAGCAGAAACCCTTTTCCTTCTCCCAGACACTTTTCAGGCGCCATCTAGTGCTACCCTCCCCATCACTGGAAACCTGTTCCCTCATCAGAGTCAGCTGCAAACAGAGATGTGAAAATCAAACCACTTCACTTCCGAGTCCTAAAACTGTGTCCTGCTGGGATGTGGTGCATGCTGCAGGCACATAGCGCAGGCAGGGTCTGTGCTGGGGGGACCTCAGGCTGGTTTTCTTGGCAGTGAAGGTTCTGTTTTCTCTCTCTGCAGCGGCATGAGTTGGAGCTGGGGCTGGGCATCTGCTGGGAGCAGCATCTTGGCAGAATTTGGTACCTTGCACTTGGAATTCCTGCACCTCTCGGAGCTCTCTGGCAACCCCGTGTTTGCAGAAAAGGCGAGTACTTCCCAACCTGGTCTTTAGTGAATTGGTCTCTTTATAGTGCTGGGTCCGTGCTGGAGCAGAGCAGCACTGTGGTCTGCCTGCCGCAGATGACATGGCAGCAAAGTGTTCCTTTTCCCCAGTACCAGTAGAGCTCACCAGAGGAGAAAGCTTCCAGAGTGGGACACGGGTTCAGAAACCTGTCTCCAGGCCTCAGAGCATCTCTGAGAAGGAGGCAGTGAGCTCCTGTTGGAGATCCTGCCACACCAAGAGGCCTTGGAAGGCAGCTGGCCCAGTGCTTCCTTTGGCTGTTCCCATTTGCTGCAGCCCCTTTGCCTGCCTCTCCATCACTTGCAGCCCCTGAGGAGACAAAGATGTCTTTTCCAGTGTCTGTTGTGTGAAATTGTAGAACAAACTCACTCAGACAAGGACACAGTCCAAATGAAACCATCTGTTGGATGAACAGATGAGAGAGGCTGTGAGGATAATTGTTAATTCTGATATCCTAATAGTAGTGCCTTGTACTTGCAGACCTCTTCACTCTAAATAGGCATTAAATGTACGCTCCAGCCAGCAAGAGTTCTGCTGAGGTTTCTTGTGTAGGCAAGGCCTGACAGTTGACATATTGGATTCCTTTTGTGGAACTTGTAACTGAAAATCTATTGATATTATACATTACCTTGAGCTTTTTTTTCCACAAGTGATCTTCTAGTGCATGTGAGAGCGACTTAATAAATATGCTGCTGGATACCAGCAAGCCATTGACTTGTGCCATTGACGTCCCTGAGGAGCCAGCTTCGAGGGAGACAAACTGTTCCAGTTAGAATCCAAATGCCCCCATGAGCCCAAATGAAAGGGGGCCTGTCCAGGGTGGGCTGAAAACAGGCAGTGGTTCTAGGAATGCCAATAAAAAGCTCAAAATGTGACTTTTCTAGGAAATGCCCAGTGCAGATCTGTCAGTTGTGAAACAAGAAGGGAATGTGAAGAAGAGACAGGAAGAGAAGGAAGAAGCTAGGAGACCAGAACGGAGAATAGGATGGAGTGTACGGAAAGCAGTAAGGGTGGGGTAAGCAAGAGGAATGTCACAGAGGAGTGAGCAGGAGAGGAAAGCAGAGGGTGAGGGAAAGCTAAGAAACCAGGGGAACTCTGTAGAGGAGATAAAAAAGGACTGGTGATTTGCAATACAGGAGACAGGCTGAAGATCCCTGAGGACAGTGATAATGACAGACTGCCCAGAGGAAGGGGGGAGCTGAGGAAAGACCAGTAAAGGAAACAGTGGTATGGAAAGAAAATGTGTGCAAAGGCAATGAAGGGTGGGGGAAGAAGATGAGCACTGGAATCACAAGGGCAAGAAGATGCTCTGTTAAAAAACTAGAACGGGATCCATGCTCTAGAGCCAAACTGTGGCATTTTGAGCCAGAGTCAAGCCTTTTCCCCAAGCTCATAAGCCCAGGGAGGGGTAAGGGCAGAATGTTTCTACTGGAGCCTGCTGAGCAGAGTGTGCCACAGGACATGTCCTCGCCTTCCTGCTGCCAGCCTCCGAGAGAACACAGAGGATGGTGTGGGCTCCATCTGCCCATCCCCTGGGAAGCTGCTTGAGAGGAGCAGATTAACTCATTAACTTGCAGCTTGGGACTGGTGTGATTTTAGCAGGAGTAGAGTCCATCTGTGTCTTTTATTCAAACATGTCATTACTGTGCCACGCTGCTGGACTCCCGTGAGTGCTCTGCAGCACGAGGACTTACTTGGAAGCACCAGCTTAAGTCTGCAGCCAGCTTTTAGTATACACATTCTCTAATTTGATAAAAGGTTTAGAGTATATTAGCTGCTCTGTAGGTTATAATAGAATATTTATGCTGCATACCATTTAACTTTGTCCCTTATGGGAAAGGCCTATTGGAGTTAATGGGGGTGAAGCCAAGGGAGGTTTTAGAGCTGTTCTAGTGTATTAAAGAAGCTGTCTGTTGTTGAAATTAAAAGCCCAAATTTCTCATGTTAAGTGACCACATGGTGAATTCAAGTAGTATGTGAGTCACTCACCCCTGCCACTGCTTTCCTTCGGATCACAATAAAAATCACATACCTTTCCACCCAGATCCCAAATCCTCAGGACTGCTTCTGCAGCACTGTGAGCGAGCTGTTGCCACTGCTTGCTGAACTGAACTGGGCCTTGCAGGGTTTGTAGGATCATCTCTAAAACCCCACAGAGCTGGACAAAGCTTGTGCTGAGGAGCCAAAGCTGCTTCTCCGTTGCAGAGCCTTGTCACAGGGCTCTGCCTGTGTGAGGACTCACAGGCTGCTGTGCCTGTTCAGCAGGGCCCAGCGCTGCAGAGCTCTCAGTGACACTGCAGGACCATTGGCTTCTTCAGCAGAGAAGTAACAGAGCTCTTGTCTCTCATCTCTCCTAGGTGATGAACATCCGCAAGGTCCTGAACAGAGTTGAGAAGCCACAGGGCCTCTATCCCAACTTCCTCAGCCCGGTGACAGGGAATTGGGTGCAGCGTAGGTATCACTGCGTTCACAGTCCTGCTGGGAGCGTTTCAGTCTTTGCATTGCTCTTTAGGAAGCAATAGTAACTGTCAGAGCAGCACGCCAAGAAAATGTCTTGTCAGGCAGCCTCTTATACATGTGATTAGATAACACAGCCCCATTTGTAAGATGCAATATAGTAATTGTACGCTTATTCCATCAGGCTTGTTTCCACCTGAGTGTCTCACCTCCAGAAAGAATTAGGGCCTTTCTTGCATGGGGGAGGATAATGGTACATGGTTCATCACACACATGTCAGAAAGCAGCACAGCTCTTTTAAGACCTCATCCTGCAGGCATCACATAGCCCACAGGCCTGCCTGGGAGTTGCATGTGTGGCTGTGAGCAGAAGCACAGTAAGATTTCCTTCCCGAGTGTGCTGCAGCAAGTAAGGAACCACCAGGAGAGGCAGAGGGCTTATGGAGCCTCACATCCCCTGAGGGTCTAGGGATGCATCCTCCTGTATGCATCCGTGTACCTCTTACCATGGTACCTCTGTGTGGTGCAGTTTGGTACAAGGGTACAACAAGGATGTATTCTCTCTTGTTGGGAACCCAGCACTGGCCAGCAGTGAAGACATGGGCATTGAATAGATGCTGTTCTGATACGAAAGAGGAGCGATAACTAGGAAGGCACTTGAAAAGAGCAAGGAAATGATAGAAGCAGTGTAACCAGGGGAAGGTTATTTACTTCCCTGCTCTACCCACACAGCCCCTTCCTTACCCAGAAAAGAGACTGTACTTCTCTTTTTGTGCCACCAAAGGGCAGAAGCTTGCCTTCTGGTAGGCACATGAAAGGCTACTTCTGCTGTTGTGCCCCACATCTCTGACCTCTCTGTTGGGGATTTGCTTGGTTTGGTTGCTGGATTTCCTGTTGCTCTGTCAAAGGAAAGAAAAGTCTTGGGTTTTTTTTGCAGAAGCTGTTTTTAACCTGTCCCTGGGTTATGTTTATCTTGTTGAAGCCGTTTTCTTCGAGTTACTGCATTATGTGGTGTTCTCCTGACTCTTGCACTGTTTGCTCTGCTCCAGCCCTTTCTAACTACTGTGCTAATGGCTCTGATTGTAGCTGACAGGCAGTTGCATGAGACAGAGTGGGAGCTCTAACCCTGAGCAAGCTCTGGCCTTTCACTGCCGCAGCAGTACCTCTAATGATAATTGACAGGGCTTGGCTTGAAAGGTGTCCCAACAAAGCATCTGAGTGGCTGCGGTTGTCCCATTAAACCAGAGCTGGCCTTTGGTGCCATGAGGAAAGAAAATAGGCTTCTGTGTTTGTCCCATTCATTGATGTTCAAAGTTATCCAGTCCCTTTGTAAGCAGTTCAGCTGCTCCTCCGCACTGCTCTCTGCAGAGTTGCTGCAGTATGTTCCGCTTGGAAAGCGAATCTCCTGCACCCTGAGGTGCCATTTTCCATGGGTTATTCCCAACCAGCAGCCACCCTTCACGTTTTACCAGACACAGCATTAGTTCTGCCTATTCAAGGGTGCTGAGAGCTCTCCTAGAGCTCCACGTCATGAGGGCAGCTCATGGGGCAGGCTGTTTGCAGCAGTGGTTCATGATAGAGCCTTGCGGTCTGAATCAGCCTCTTCTGCATGTCCAGTGGTGAGAAAGAGATTAGGACCGAAGCAGGGAGGCAGCTGCAGCCTGTCACAGAGATGTCCCCTGTAGGTGCCAAGCTCTCATTTTCTCTCTTGTCATTAAAGCTCTTTGCAGGAAGCAGTTTTTCTTGGAATTGCTGTGATTTTCTTAAAAGGTGTATCTTTGACCTGCCTGAATGAGCACATCTTGCAATGAAGAGGCAGTGCTGCGCCTCTCCCGAGTGCAGTCCTTACCTGGAGAGAACTAAAGCACAGTCCCCTGATGCAATCAAGAGTTTGATTATGCAGTGCCTTGGAGGCAAATGCTGGCAAAGCTGGTGCCATATGGAAAACAATTATGTACCAGAGCTCCTGCTTTGGTGCTTTTATGAATGACACGCTCAGGATCACAGAGCTGCTCTGTAAAGACAGGCTGTGCAGGCCGTGTTTGCAAATAGTCTGTCCTCTGTTTTGTTGAATTCATGTGTCTAATCTCGTTGTTTTGCTTTGGATTATTCCTGGATCATTGGGCACACTGTATCAGCAATATTTGCTCTCCAGGTCAGGATGTCATGGCTGTTGATCACTTCTTTTGCTAGGATTTAGCATTTAGGATAAGTCTCAGGATGTCATGAATGTACAAAGGTAGGGAAAACACAAATCTGACCAGCTAACTCCAAACCCTGCTGCATCTGCTTCATTGGCAACGAGGACGCACACCAAGAGGTGGACACTGTTCCTTAGCAGGGATGGTTCAGTCCGGGGTGGGTAATTTGTCTTGCTCTTCTAAAAAGGGGCGAACTTGGCTGCTTGGAGGAATGGATGCTGCCTTTCCCCCTGTGGTACAATTTGCAGACACACTGCAGCCAGCCTTTCACCCAGGCAGGATCCTGCCGCTGCCATCCCCATTTCACAGTGCAGTTCTTCAGCATCCTCCTGTAAGGTCACAGCTCCGTGTGCTCAGAGCCGATCGCCTTGAAAAGCTCTGCAGAAGGAAATATTCAGTGCACATCCTCGGACCTGACTTTATCATTTTAATATGCCGACAGCCCCAGCCTTCCCCAGGGCACTGAGTCCCACCGTGAGCCAGGAATACAAATGGCATGATGGAGAGGTCCCTACAGCAGCCCCTTGCTGGCAGCTCTGTGTGATCCAGCATGCTTTTTCCCTTTCCTGAGGCAGGGAGGCAGAACCCAGTGGCTTCATATAAGTAGAGATCTATCAATACCTGCCATTGCTTTTGGTTTATGAGGCTGGGATTTATGATGATTGCTTCATAAATAAGAAGCATCTTCAAGTTGCAGTATAAATAAGTTGCAAAGTTAAGACCTCTGCATAGTTTTGGTACGGGATACTGATGCTTTGTAGAATGGCAGAACATTTTTCTTCTGATTGCACTTTCCATCTTTCTTGCTTTTTGAAAAAGAAATGCTGCAAGCTCTCCCCAGGAAACTGGAAAGAAGATGGAGAGAACAAGGGCATTAAACAAGACATGGTTGGTTGTTCTTTGTAAAGCAGCTGCTCACTGTATATCATGAAGCTGAAGTTCTCTTCTGGCTTTCCCACTACAGATCACGTCTCCATTGGGGGGCTTGGGGACAGCTTTTATGAATATCTCATCAAATCTTGGCTGATGTCGGACAAGAAAGACTCTGAAGCTAAAAAGATGTATGATGATGCACTAGAGGTAAGGAGCAAATTGCTGCTCTATATTTTGGGGGAGGAGGACATTGGTTGTCAGACTGTTTCAGGCAAAAAATATCCCAGATCTTTGGGTTCTGTGGTATTTACTCCACTCCTTTCCACTAAGTAAATACTTAATAAGCGACTTACTGTCCACTATGTATCTCAAAATCCTGGTTTTCATCCCTTTAGGCAATAGAAAAGCATTTGGTCAAAAAGTCAGCTGGAGGATTGACCTACATCGCTGAGTGGAGGGGTGGTGTCTTGGATCACAAAATGGGCCACCTGGCTTGTTTCTCTGGGGGTATGATAGCCCTTGGAGCTGAACACGCTGGAGAAGAGAGGAAGCAACATTACATGGATCTCGCTGCAGAGATAACAAGCACATGTCATGAGTCTTATGCACGCTCAGGTAAACCTGTGCACTGCCTGGAAAGTATTAGTAAGGGGTCACCTACAGCCTTAGGAGGCTCAGCTTTGGTGTGGCAGAGGTTTGCATCCCTGTGTGTGATTTTCACTTGTCTTTTCTGGGCTATCTAGAAGAGAAAGCAATGTGGTTTACAGCTGGAGCAGAGGGACAGGCAGATGGGAGCTCCTGTGGCAGAGCTGGGAAGACAACCCACAGCTTAGTCCCACCCCCAAGTCGCAGAACTGGCTTTCTCCCAGCTAGACTGTAGTTTGAGTCTATCTTTTCACATCCCTTCGCAGACAAAAAGGGGAGCTTAACAGATTAATTGCAAAGCATCCCACTCGATGGAGCAGAGCAGCTGAGAAGCCCAGCAGCAGAGTGTGGGAGGCCTGCAGCTGCTGGTAGGAACAAAACAAATGAAGTCTCTGCTGCTGTTGAAGAGAGGCTGGCTAAATCTTGCTCCTTCCCAAGGCCTGGAAAATTAGTTTCAGCACCCAGTGTGCTTATCAGGGAGGGCTTTGGGTGAGCAGTGACCTGATGAATGAGAGTCTGGGTTATTCTGTGCCTGCAGGGCTTTCAGCAAGAGGGGCTTGCTTTGGACACCACTCCTTCCTTTGTAGGCATCTCTGTAGCTCTTCTGAGACTGCAGGCAGCAAAGCAGCACTCTGCTTTCTTGGACCTTGTCAAGCACAGGTCTGTCTGCTCAAACTGTTCCCAAAGGTTGTTTCACACCTTCACCACATCAGCAAGCCCATGCTGGCAGCCAGTGTCCAGCACGTTTGCCCAATGAACTTCAAGCTAACCTGAAATGTTCACAAATAACTCTCCTTTTCCCCCCAGCGCTTCCAGAACTCAACCAAGTCACCCAAACTAATAACCCCCTGGTTGTGAGTGCCTGGAGCCAATTTTCACCTTCAGCAATACCCATCAGCATAGAAAGGACGGTAGCAATCTGCCCACACTGGTGACGGTGCTGTCACTTCAGCAAGCTCATTGATTTACAGAGAATGCTTGTGCATGTCACCCTGGCTCTCAGCAGATGGCCCAGCACTGTTAGATCCCTGTGCCCGGGGGAAGGTGTGCAGCACAGCTGGAGAAAGAAAATGACTCCCTGAAACACGACCACACATGGGACCAGCAGGAGAAACCTTGTGGCATGAACACAGTCATAGAGTCACAGATTGGTTTGGATTAGAAAGGATCTTAAGATCATCAAGTTCCAGCCCCCAGCTTTGGGAAGGGATGCCTCACACCAGACCATGTCGCCCAAGGCTCTGACCAACCTGGCCTTGAACACTGCCAGGGATGGAGCATTTACTGCTTCTTAGGGCAGCCTGTGCCAGGGCCTCACCACCCTCATGATCAACCTCTGTGCTCAGTTTCCCTGGTTTTTGAACACAGAGAGGGTTGGTGTTGGAAGTAGGGATCAGAGTGCTAGCCAGTGCTTGCAAGAGGTTGAGATGCTCATGTAAGGGAAACTCCAAAAGACCCAGGTACTCTGAATGTGTTACTTACAAACTCCCAGTGAAATCAATGAAGCCTTCCCCATCATCCTGATGTCTTCCTTCTCAAAGAGGCTGCTTGTGGACCAGAGGAAAGGCAGAAGAAGTGATTGCAGGTCCCAGATACCACTTCTTACAGCCCCCTTGCTGCAGTGCAGGTGGAACAGCTCAGTCTGGTGGACAGATAATTGTGAGGCAATTCCTAGGAGCAAATACCAGCCCAGCAAAAGTGCTAGGCCATGGGGTAGATTTGTGCCTGCCCTCTGCATGCTCAAATCTGCCCCAAGTTTGTGTTTTTTCCCACCCTCAGAAACACTTCACCCTCACCTGGATAGTACCACAGCATGAGCAACGCCTCGAGCAGCAGTGGGCACAGCTTGTGCACTCTGTGGAGCTGCCCCTGTTTTGACATCAGCGTGAGGTTGATCTGATAGACAAGCACGACTGCTCTGCTCATGCAAGCCTTAAGGACACATTGGCAGGCTGAGCAGTATAAAAGCACGTGGAGAGTCTGTTTCCTTCTGCTCAAAATGATTATTGCATGTGTGTGATTTTTGTCCAGATACCAAACTGGGCCCCGAAGCCTTTCGCTTTGATGCTGGAACTGAAGCCATGGCAACCAGACTCAGCGAGCGCTACTACATCCTGCGGCCAGAGGTGGTGGAAAGCTACATGTACATGTGGCGGCTGACACACGATCCCAAGTACAGGCAGTGGGGCTGGGAGGTTGTGAAGGTATGGCTGGAATAACGCTTCCAGGCTGCTGCATTCTTACACAGCTCTTTCCTTTGGAGAGAAAAGAGCAGACTCTCAGTTGTGTTGAGCGCTAAGACACATTAGCCGTGCGGCAGGAATGCACAAAACAGCTCGATGTAGTGCGGTGTCTGTTGATCATTGTGAGTGTTTTCTTCTCCCTTTCGGGCTACACTAAAAACAGTCAATCAGAACAGTGGAGGTTTATGGAGAGGAGTGCTGCAGACAGCAAAACCTGCTATTAATGAAACAGCCCTCTGCACAAAGGAGTCAATGTACTATCTGCAGTATCTAGGCTGCTCAGAACCATGGGTTTGTAATGGGCCAGGAAACCTGCCTTTGCCCTGGCTTCTGTCTTCTTCCCACAAAGACCTCCGAGCCAGAAAGTCCCTCACCTCTTTCTAGCTCATGCAATAGCCTGTTAGCCCCTGCCCACATCCTAGCAGGAGCTGCATTTCAGTGGCACAGCTGTCATTTGTCTTCTTCCTGGAAAAGAGCCTCCACAAGCAGCAAGTTACCACTTGAGATCTGGTTGTGCTATTTCTGTAACATCAAGGTCAATCAATCAACTAACTTAGGTGGTTGATGTTTCTCTTGCTATTTCATTAGAACCAACTTTATTTCCAGAGTCTGGAGTAATCACTACACTCCTAGTGAGAGACAGAGCCTACTGTAATCCCAGAATTTGATTTGTAAAGCTGACTTGTAATGGACCTGATGATGATTAATGAGTTCCTACTCCATGCTGTTGTGTGTTACTGAGATTTCTTTTCCTTTCGCAGGCCCTGGAAAAGCATTGTAGAGTAGAAGCTGGTTTCTCTGGCATCCGAGATGTTTATACCACAACCCCGACCCATGACAACATGCAACAGAGTTTTTTCCTCGCAGAGACTCTGAAGTAAGTCCAGTGTCACAGAGACCTTTCAGAGTAGCATAATTCCTGCAGCATCAACACTCGTCTGCTTAATTAGTCTCTAATAATAAGGGGGAAGTCTTACTCTCTGTGGGGAAAACTGGGCAAGGCTGTGGGTGCTGCAAAGCTTTGGTAGTTTCCTCCTGTAGCACTACTGCTGTCATTGGCACTCTCAAGGTTTTTGCTCATGTGGGGGATTTAAAGGACTCTTCCTGTGATTTATTGCTGTTCTAAGTGGGAGGCTCTGACTGCTGAGCTCCCTTGCATTTAGCTAAGAGACAGCATGTCTCCTCTGCCAGGCTGATGCCCTGTATACAGAGATATGACTGTGGCCTGAATTTGCTGCCCCTTGGTGCAGAGCTGCCTTTCACAGGTAACATGAGCCAATGTTGTTGCTGATCACAGATGCCCTCCCCATTGTTCCACCTTTGCACCAGGGCTGGTAATTTCAAGCAGGAGAGCCCGGCAGGGAGTGAGGGAACGTGTTACCATAAACTGTGGCAGCTGAGGCCAGTGGCAGCCCCCATCACAGTCCTGGTGCCAGTGCTTGTGTGTGCCTGGAGTCCCACTCGCGTTTCCTTCCATCTCCCTCCCGGCTCCAGGTACCTCTATCTTCTGTTCTGTGAAGATGACGTGCTGTCTCTGGACGACTGGGTGTTCAACACAGAGGCTCACCCCCTGCCAGTCAACCACACGAACTTTAAAGCAAGCGTGCAGCAGTGAGGCCACTGCCCAGGCCCTGCTGCTGCGGCCTCGGCGCGTTACAGCTTTTCCTTTCCATTAAAGGAATTTGCATTGTTCCTGAAATGGTATTTTGGGGCATAGTCCAATTCCGGACAGTATTGTATGGGGAAGATGAAACCATGATGTAAGCACCTTCTTTTCCTCTGTGAGGAGCAATATTAGCCTGATACTGAGATGTTTATTCTGGGCCATATTGTACACAGTTCATAGACATTCCTTTATACAGAGAATTTATATGAAATCCACTGACTTTGCTTTATAGTGGCCAAAGGACTGGAAGTTTGCCATAAAATAGACTTCACACACACACAAACATCCTCCTTTCGTTTCTCAGTTTCATTCTTGCCTTTTATATACTCCTGGATTGATCACCTTTGTAATGAACAGTTGCCAATATACGGTGCTTCCTAGGCACTTAGAAAGGGCAGGACAGGAGCATGAGGAAGGGGAGATGCTCTTTATGTGGGAGAGCAGGTGGAGCGCATGGAGCTCCATGCTGACTGTGAGCTTATGGGTTAGGATTGAAGAGAAGACATACAAGTGACATTATAATGGGTGTCTGCTATAGGCCACCTGACCAGAAAGAGCTCACTGATCAGCAAGACAGGGAACCTGATTACATAGGACATGGAAACAGTTGAAATACCAAATGTCACCTTTGTCTCAGTCTTCACTAGCAAGACTTGTCTTCAGGAATCACAGGTTCCATAGACCAGGGGGAAAGGCTGGAGCAAAGATGTACCTTTGGTGGAAGAGGATCAGGTCATGGAATACTTAAGCCAACTGGACATAGATAAGTCCATGGGCCTTGAGGGAATGCACCCACAAGTGCTGAGAGAGCTGGCAGATGTCACTGTCTCAATAATCTTTGATTGACCATGGCAACTGGGAGAAGTGCTCAAAGACTGGAGTAAAGCAAATGTTCCTCCTGTCAACAGGAAGGGCAAGGAGGAAGACCCAAAGAGCCATACGCTCATGAGGCTCACCTCAGTCCCGGAGAAGGCGACATTATCCTGGAAACCATTTCCAGGCACAGGAACAACAAACTATTCCTCAGGAGTAGCCAGCAGGGCTTCACCAAGGGGAATCGGGCTTAGTCAACTTGCTAAACTTCTATGCTGAAATGACTGGCCTGGTAGATGAGGGGAGAGCAGCAGACAGAGTCTTCCTGGACACTGTCAAAGGAGATCATCATAGACAAGTTGTTGATCTATAGGCTGAGCAGCCAGTGAGGTGGGTTGAAAACTGGCTGATGGTTGGGCATAGAGGTGGTGATCAGTGGCACAACGTCTGTTAGAGGCCAGTAGCTAGCAGAGTATCACAGGGATCAATACTGGTCCAGTCCTGGTTAATGTCTTCATTAATGATCTGGATAATGAGGCAGAGTGTACCCTCAACACGTTTGGTGATGACATAAAACTAGGAGGGGTGGCTGATAGACCAGAGGGTCGTGCTGCCATCCAGAGGGACCTCAACAGGCCGGAGAAATGGGCTGGTAAGAACCTCATGAAGTTCAGTAAGCAGAAGTGCAGAGTCCTGTACCTGGGAAGGAACAAGCCCATGCTCCAGCATGTGCTAGAAAGCATCTTGGCAGAAAAGGACCTGGGGGTCCTGTGGACACCAGGTTGACCATGAGCCAGCAATGGGCCCTTACTGCAAAGAAGGCCAGTGGTATCCTGGGCTGCATTAGCCCCAAAGCATTGCCAGCAGGGCGAGGGAGGTGATCTTTCTCTGCTCGGCCCTGGTAAGGCCACAACTGGAGTGCTGTGTCCAGTTCTGGGCTCCTCAGTACAAGAGAGACATGGACATAGTGCAGTGAGTGCAACAAAGGGCCACAACAATCATTAAGGGACTGGAACATCTCTCCTACGAGGAAAAGCTGAGAGCTGGGACAGTTTACCCTGCAGAAGGCTCAGGGGGGAATCTTTTATATATACATGCATTAGGAGGGAGGGTGCAAAGAGGATGGAGCCAGGCTCTTCCCAGTGGTGCCCAGTGACAGGACCAGCACAAACTGAAACACAGGGGAGTCCTGAACATCAGGAAACGCTTCCTGTACTGTGCTGGTGACTGAGCACTGCACAGGCTGCCCAGGGGGCTCTGGGTGGCCGTGCTTGAGCAAGGGGTTGAACCAGATGCCCCAGAGGCTCCTGCCAACCTCACCCATCCTGTGATTCTGTGGTGTCAAAGCTGTAACTAAATCAAAAGCTGTCTGCAGAGTTCTTGATTCTAACGTATTTTTGTATACTTCTTCTGTGCTCTTAAAACACATTTCGCACACGTGACATCTCATTTCACTGCCCTTCATCGGTTTTGTGTTTTTCTACTTTCATTTGGAACTAAATGTTATGAGTCACTTGTAATAATTTCACTGCTGTAATAGTCAAATCTGTGAAACAAAATAAAGTCTTGTAACATAAAAAGCATGTTTGGGTTGATCCTCTGTCAAGCCATCTGGCAGAGACCTGCTACATCATGCTTGGAATAACTAGGTGACAATACTGCTTGATTTCAAGAGTATTTCACAATAGATGTTGATTTCCTGAGTACTGTAGCCAGTGTGTGTGGACAGCAATTCCCATCTGCACCAGCTCTCTTAAACTGCTTCTTCCCCATCTGATAGGGGTTAGCAGAAGCTCTACTAAATGTCTCGTTTTTCTAGCACAAATAAATAATCCCCAGCCAAGTTTGCGCTTCCGTGTGCGTTGTTTCTGGAATGAAGTAACACAAGGAAAGGAAAGGGAAAAGCCCGAAGCCAGGTTGTTCCATGCCTCAGGCCCTGAGCCAGCGTTCAGCCCGTGCGTCCTCTGAGCGGGACGAGTGTGCAGGAATGCTCACGCACAGCTCCTGCTCCAGTTTTGAGTACCTGCTTCACGCTTCTTGCACCAAGGGCTGGATCTGGGATCTGGAATCGGCCTCCTCCCTCCCAGCAGCCGTTCCTCTGGTCGCTGCAAAGCTGCACGGCCCTTGGTGAAGGGTTCTGTGCCTTCTCTCGCTAACTGCTTCATCCAGCAACTTGGGAAGAGAAAGTTGCTTTGAGCAAGCTCGAAAAACAAAAGATGTGTTTCTGAATTCATGCCTGTGTAATTCCCCAAGAGAAATACAGTTGTCAGATGGGGACTTAGCATTATCCCAGGGATAAAGCTGCTGGCTGGTAAGCTTGGCCTAGAGGAATGGGGTTTGGTAAATAAACATCTTGGGAGTGAGTTACCGGAGAGATTTGGATACCAGGAAGCTGGTTTAGCTCAGAGGGGTTTTATAATGGATTAAGGGAATTCCATAAATAAAAATGTCCTGCTCTTGGAGTAACTCAAAGCTCTTTGCCTGGCAAAATGTAAATCCCCAAAATAAATAGCATGGTTCTAGTTTCCTTTAGAAATAGATCCTTGGTATTATATGAAAACTCGCTGCTCGTTTTCTCTTCCACACAAGTGAGCAAGAAGAGTATTTGTAAAGTCACATCCACACACTGCTGAAGGAGAGCTGCTGCTTCCTGCGCCTCAGTGGCTGCATCACAAACAGGGAGGGGGTTCAGCTGCCTGGTGATGTAAATCTTACTGATAAATTTGCTCACCAAGACACTTGTATGGGGCTTAGCACCAGCCACAGCAACAGCTTTGTGTTGCAAACAGCCATGCTTGGAAATTGCTGCTCTTCCACACCACAATCCTGCAACTATTTCTGCCTGTGTTCACAGATACCCACAGTTAAAGCCCTGAGGCCAGCGGATTAATTGCAGGCACCAAGTTAAGCATGCATGTGTTTAGCAGGAATGAAGATTCATCCCAAGGATCAGCTTTGTTCCAAGGACTGGCGCTGGTCCACAACTGGGATTTTCTGTCCTATGACAACGGAAGTAGCAGGGATGTTTCCCCCACTAGTGTGTTGAAAAGCTGATGCTCTTGCCTTGCTCCTCTGCACACTTGAGCCTTGGCTGGATGCTCTTCCTCAAGCAGAGCCCTCAGCTCTGGGAGCTCTGTGTGCGGAAGCAGGTTCTGGGATGCCCCCTCTCATCTTCCACCTACCTTGTGTCCTTCCTGCTCGGTGGGGTGGTGGGATGTCTGCATCCAGATGGACGATGCACATCTTTGTCTTCAGACTTGGAGTAGGTAAAGAAATGGGGTATTATGTTGAACCAGAGGTTTGGTTTTAAATGTCTAATGGAAAGGACCTGGGAAGATGTGTGTGCCTGAGCTGCTTTCCTGCCTTTCAGTCTCACGCATGTGGGACATCAGTAGGAATGCTGCTCTTAATTTACAGTGGGTTTTTTTACTTCGGAGTTTCCTTACCAGGAAATGCGACGGGCCTACATGATTTCCCGTTTCCCCTGTTACACTCACATTCAGAAGCGGTGGTTTCTCATGTTAAGTTTCACCATCAGAACATGTGGCCTTATTTATGTCGGCAGGAATTTCTTGTAAATGAAGTTCTAATGAGAAAGTTGCATCAGTCAGAGAGATGAAAGCTCCTATGGCTTGTAGAACGCCTTAGCTGTTGTCACCGCCCATACAAGGAGGGAAGACAAAACCATGCAGAAAACAAATGCATCTTTTTGTAAGCCACACTTCATTTTTACAGCGTTATTCAATTCCCTTGGAAGGCTTTCAGTGCAATTGGTTATTGAATTCAAAAGCCTGGCAGCCATGGGATTTTTCCACATACATTTTGATCTGCTCTATTTATCTGATTGTTCCACATGTGATGCACCGAGCGCTGGCTCCCAGTGGCAGCACTTTCAAAGTGTCAGCAGTTACTTCTGATCACGTTTGGGTCTTTGGCTTCATTCCCTGGGGAGCCTCAAGCAGGTACTGTGCTGTAATTAGGAATCCTCTCAATAAACCACCCCTGCATTGTAATTGCTTTTGTTTAGTGAGAGCCGGTGAGTGTCAGAACTGCAAGTGACCCACCAGGTTGGACTGCTTCCAATTGGAAAAGGAAAGGCCAAGGGGGAGTTAGAAATTCAGGCCCATGGGAACTGGGTAGGCATTGGCTCTTGCTCTTCAACTAAATGGTCTACTTCGAAATGTCTCAATCAAACTGCATTTCACTCTGCAGCCTTTGCT